AACAAATTAGGTATAAAATAAATGTACCTCAACTTAATAAAAGCCATATAGGGGGCCGGTGCTGTGGCACATTGGGTTAAAGACCTGGCCTCCCATATGGGCACCAGTTCAAGTCCCAGCTGCTCCTCTTCCGATCCAGCTCTCTGTTGTGGCCTGGGAAAGCAGAAGATGGTCTAAGAGCTTGGGCCCCTGCACCCTTGTGGAAGACCAGGAAGAAGCTCCTGGCTCCTGACTTCAGATCAGCACAGCTCTGGCTGTTGCGGCCATCTGGGGAGTGAACCAGCAGATGGAAGACCTCTCTCTCTGTCTCTACCTCTCTGTAACTCTGTCTTTCAAATAAAATAAGTGAAAAATAAAATAAAAGCCATATATAACAATTCTGCAGCTAAATCATTTTCACCGCTTTCCTTCAACATAGTTCTGGAAGTCCTTGCCAGAGCAACTAGGCAAGAAAGGACATCCAGGTTGGAAAAGAGGAAGTCTAACTGTCACTGTTTGCAGGTGACATGATCTTCCACAGAGAAAACCCTAAAGACTCCATCTAAAAACTATTACTCCTGATAACAAATTCAGCAAAGTTGAGGGATACAAAATCAAAACGCAAAAGTCAGCATTGTTAGACACTATTAGTGTACCATCTGAAAAGAAATCAAGAAACCAATCCTGTTTCCAATACCACAAAAATTGAAAAAAAGAAAAAGATAGGAATAAATTGAACTGAAGTGGTGGAAGATTGATCTTGATTTGTCTTTCAAATAAATAAGTCTTTTTTAAAAAAGAAAAACTAGAATTTACCAAATATAAAACTCTAACCTTTTTTGAAATATACTGTTAAGAAAATAACTGACCAGGGTAAAAAATATTTTAAGGGCTTACTTATTTGAAAGTCACAGTTGCAGAGAGAAGGAGAGACAGAGAGATATTCCACCTGCTGGTTCACTCCCCAGACAGCCACAACAGCCAAGGCTGGGCCAGGCTGAAGCAAAGAGCCAGGAGCTTCATCCAGGACTTATCTGTGGGTGGCAGGGAACCAAGGACTTTGGCCATCCTCTGCTGCTTTACCCAGGCCATGAACAGGGAGCCAGATTGGAAGTAGAGCAGCTAGGACACACACCCACACCCATATGGGATGCCAGTGCTGCAGGCAGAAGCTTAGCCGATTACGCCTCAGTGTCGGCCCCATGTAAAATATTTTTAAAAGACTTGCAGAGTGATGTTGGCCAAATGTCATCATCCCAGGCCTCATCTTCCTGGCTCCCCAGGACAACCACCCGTGCACAAGAAGTACCCTTGCAGCAGCTTCAGGACACAGGTAGGAGACTGTGTTAGCCCACAGCAACACAGGACACTGGCAAGCCACTTCGAGAAGGCAGGCGGCCACTCCAGCACCAGGTGCACCACTCCCTCCATCTACTTTCCACACAGTTGTAGGGGCAGTCACACCTGCCTCAACAGCAGGAGCCAGGCCCACCTACAGCCCTGGTGACAAACCTGCTGACTGTGGCATGGACTCAGCAGCATGGACGAACGCAGCCCCATGACCACTGTGACACAACAGACAGCCCAGAATTAAGTCCACGCAAGGGCAGAAAGTTTGTGATGCAAAACAAGGTCTGGAGAACTGTTTTCTAAAAGCACAGTAGGTGAAAAGCCTTTACCCAGAGCATGAAAAGAATTCTCAGAAGTTTTAAAATTAGGGGCTTGTGCTGTGGCGTAGTGGGTAAAGCTGCTGCCTGCAGTGCCGGTATCTCATATGAGTGCCGGTTCGAGTCCCAGTTGCTCTACTTCCGATCCAGCTCTCTGCTATGGCCTGGGAAGGCAGTGGAGGATGGCCCAAGTGCTTAGGCTCCTGCACCAGCATGGGAGACCTGGAAGAAGCTTCTGGCTCCTGGCTTCAGATGGGCCCAGCTCCGGCCATTGCGGCCATCTGGGGAGTGAACCAGTGGATGAAAGACCTCTCTGTCTCTGCCTCTGCATCTCTGTAACTCTGCTTTTCAAATAAAAAATCTTAAAAAAAAAATGCTTCCCATGTACTTAATGGGTGAGCACTTACTAAAAGAGAAAGCTTGACACCAGCCCTGGTGAGGATGATGACGGTCCCACATACGGCTGGTGGGGCATGCAAAGTAACAAGGCTATGTCATATTCATGTACTGGAATACAGGTAATTCACCAAGCACTAAAGGATGATTGATAGACATAGGAGAAGGATGGAATCCAGGCCATTGAGTTGCCACATGAAGAAGGCAAAATGACAGGGACCAAAGGATCAGTGGGTGCCAGGTGCTGAAGGTGCAAGTCAGGTGCTGACCACAAGCAGGAATGAATTGGGGAGGAGAAGAGCTTTTGGAATTGTTCCCAATCTTGATGCTGCATGTATGTATGCCTTTGTCAAAATGCTGTGAATAATATACTAAACGGGGTGAGCTGTATTATACACAGATTATACCTCAATAATACCGGCCAAGAAACCATGTAGAAATGACTCAAATGCTGGCCGGCGCCGCAGCTCAATAGGGCAATCCTCCGCCTACAGCACCAGCATCCCGGGGTTCTAGTCCTGGTCAGGGTGCTGGATTCTGTCCCGGTTGCCCCTCTTCCAGTCCAGCTCTCTGCTGTGGCCCAGAAGTGCAGCGGAGGATGGCCCAAGTGCTTGGGCCCTGCACCCCCTGGGAGACCAGGAGAAGCACCTGGCTCCTGGCTTTGGATCAGCGCGGTGCGCCAGCCGCAGTGGGCCAGCTGCAGCGGCCATTGGAGGGTGAACCAACGGCAAAGGAAGACCTTTCTCTCTGTCTCTCTCTCTCACTGTCCACTTTGCCTGTCCAAAAAAAAAAAAAAAAAGAAAGAAAAGAAAGAAAGAAATGACTGAACACCAAAAAGGAAACCTGTTGAAGTGGAATGGACACTATGGGAAACGGTGACTTGATCAGCATAGCCCTGACTGTTAATGAACAACTTAATACATTATCCCTCTTAGTAGTTTTTTTGTCTGTTCTACTTAATATGACTGGTTTAATTCTGTAATTAATACACAGTTATTCTTAAGTGTTGAAATTTAACTGAAATGTGATCCCTGTTAAACATAAGAGTAGGAATAAGAGAGGGAAGAGATATATAATTTGGGACATGCTCAAGCTGACTTGCCCCAAATGGTAGAGTTAGAAACATACCAGGGGACTCCAATTTAATCCCATCAAGGTGGCATGTACCAATGCCATCTCACTAGTCCAAGTGATCAATTTCAGTTCACAATTGATCATAATGAAAGGACTAAGAGTCAAAGGGAGCACATAAGCAAGTCTAGTACCTGCTAACACTAACCGATAGAATAAATAAAGGGGAGAGTGATCCAACATGGGAAGTGAGATACTCAGCAGACTCATAGAATGGCAGATGTCCTAAATAGCACTCTGGCCTCAGAATCAGCCCTAAAGGCATTCGGATCTGGCTGAAAAGCCCATGAGAGTATTTCAGGCATGGAAAGCCAAGACACTCTGGCAAAAGATCTCTGTGAGTGAGATCTCAGTGGAAAAAATAGGTCTTCAAAGAAGGAGGTACCTTTCTCTGAAGGGAGGAGAGAACCTCCACTTTGACTATGACCTTGTCTAAACAAGATAAGAGTCGGAGAACTCAAGGGGCTTCCATAGCCTTGGAAACTCATGACTGGAGCATAGGGGGATTGCTGATGCCATAGACAGGAGTGTCAATTGGTAAAGTCAACAACAGGAGTCACTGTGCACTTACTCCTCATGTAGGATCTCTGTCCTTAATGTGCTGTGCATTGAGATTTAATGCTATAACGAGTACTCAAACAATATATTTCACTTTGTGTTTCTATGGGGGTGCAAACTGTTGAAATCTTTACTTAATGCATACTAAACTGATCCTCTGTAAAAAAAAAAAAAAAAAGAAAAAAAAAGAAAAAGAAAAGAAAAGAAACTATCAACTCCCAACTTGACTCTCACTGGGATTAAACATGACAATAGGTCTGATCTGATTTCATCATCATTTAAAAAAAATCATCTATTATTTTTCACTTTATGTTTCTGTGTGGAAGCAAACTGTTGAAATCCTTACTTAAGGTATACTAAGCTGATCTTCTGTATATTAAGATAATCGAAAATGAATCTTGATGTGAATGGAAGGGGAGAGGGAGTGGGAAAGGGGAGGGTTGTGGGTGGGAGGGACGGTATGGGGGGGAAGCCATAGTAATCCATTATTCGTACTTTGGAAACTTATATTCATTAAATAAAAGTTAAAAAAAAAAAAAAAGAAAGAAATGACTCAGATGCTAAGGTCTAAGACATAGGACCAACACTAACAGAACACATCTGATACAGATTATGCCTGAAGTGACAAGCCCTGATCCAGTCTGGTGACAATCAGGATAAATCCAAATGTTGGGATCTCCCACAGTCCCTGCCTCCAGGAAGGATGTGCTCATAAGATATCTTTATTCCTCTAAAATTCCCAGGGTTCCCATGGTCTCTCAGATGGTCGTCTGTCCCTTGCCTCCCTGGCCGGCTCTGATCTTTCCTACTCCTCTCTGTTCTCTGGAACTCCCAATCTGTCATTGGCAAAGTCCACAGGTTTCCTCGGGGACCTCTGTACATGCCCCCTTGCCCTTCTTGCTGTATTTGAAAACTGGGTTCCCTTGAGGGCACTGCTTCCTCTATAGCCTTCTCATGGGGTGGTTGCTGTTTTCTCTCAAGCCCATATGCCACCATATGCAATAGCTGTTCTCTCTGCCTCCTGATGCTACTTCTAGACCACTGTGCTTCCATCAACTTAAAACCTTCAGCAATTTCAGTCATACTTGGCATTATAGGAGCCAAGACCCCTCCTTGTTGCATTCATCTACAGAGATCCAGCTCTCCCTGGGCTGGTTAGCTCATGACTTATGCTCACCAGCTCCCTCCTCCATGGATTTTTTCATTTCTTGTAGTCTTCATATTCCCCCCAAAAAACCACCAGTTATCTCCATTCCTTCTACACCTCACCTGGAGTGGTCTTGCTCCTTCTGCCGCTCAGTCCACCATCATACTTCCAATAACCCTTCTCAGTGGAGCCTGATGGCCTGGCTACCAATTTCACTGAAGGTGAGAGCAGAAAGAAGAGAACTTTCTCATCCCCTACCCATTGGTCTACCACCTCTCTGTGCCTTTCCTGCAGACTCTGGCCTTCCTATTGTTCCTACAGTTGAACTAAACGCTATCTTTGCGTAATCCCAGCCCCTCCAGTTGTGAGCTATTTCTCAGTGTGGCTCAGGTGCCCTAGGGTGTCATTCCTGCAGTTGGCTGCTGTCGGCTACAGGAATAAATCAACATTCCAGGAACCATCTGGACATTATCAACTTTCAATTTCCTCTGCAAAGATTCCACACATTGTGCATTCCTCCTCTTCATCCAGGCCATCTCCCACAGTCTCCACTTTCCCACTGGCTTGCCAATGGGAAGTGATTTCAGCATTTCTTCAACAGAAATAGTTTGTACCCGGGAGAGGAGCATGTTAGCCTGGTGGTTAGGATGCTGGTTCACACACCCACGTCCCACATCTGAATGCCCTGATACCCAGCTTAGACTCCTGACTCTAGCTTCCTGCTAATGCGCATGCTGGGATGCAGCAGTAATGGCTCAGGTAGCTAGGTTCCCAGCACCCATATATGGGAGACATGGATTAAGTTCCTGTCTCCAGCCCAGCCTTAGTTGTTGGAAGCATTTGGGGAGTGAAACCAGCAAATGAGAGGTCAATCTCTGTCTCTCAAATAATAATTTTTTTGAATTATACCTATAGATATCTAACTTTCTGGCTGTAGGCTGAATGTAGGTAACTCCCTCCTAAAGGCTAAACAAAGTAGAATATAGATACATTCTGTGCTGGGATAATTCAGTCCCAGTTATCAAGCAGGCACTCATGGACTGTCTCATTTCTGAGACTCTGGATCTCAGACACCTTGGAGCTCACTTGGCTTTGCTGACTTCTCTGACTCGGTATGTTGCTGCTGTTCACTCTTGGCTGATGTCGGAGACAGGTCAGTGCTAACGCTGACAGCAAAGTAGCCCGTGCTCATTTTTGCAAGCCGACCAAGAAGCACTGTGGCACGAGATAAAAATCGGAAAAGGACATATTCAACAAGAGAAAAGGAGGCATTGATGCATCTCTCCCCCTCCCAAGACCCTGCCCATCCAGCACATTGTTTCCCTGTTTTGTGATCAGCCACCAATCCTGGGTGGCAATAGAAAGCCATGTGCAGGAGGGCCTTGCAGTATCCTTTTCAATTCTGACTCAGGTCCACAAGCCTGACCCTAAAACTGCCCAACTCAGCATCACAGATGATTCTTGACACTGAGACTCTAAGCCCACTCTTCCTCAGAAACAATGGATTCTGTCCTACTCTAGGTGCTTCTGGCAGATAGGATCAAGATGACCCATTTCCTACCAACCAGTCACCCAGCAGCTGGGGAAAACAGCCCCATTCCAAGATACAATTGGCTCATTTAGCATCACACCCTTAAAACACTTTCCTGAATAACCCAGTCCACATGGGGCATAGCTGCCTGCATGCTATTTAGTCTCTCCTTTTTCCTTCTAAATCCTGTTTCCTGATCCTACTCCCATTTCCTTTCTGATCTCTTTCCTGTTGCAATTTTCCTTTAATACTGTTTGTACATGTAAAATGGGAACTCCAAGAAAAAAAGTTGTTAGCTAGAATTTCCTGTGCATGCCAACTGACTTAATATTGGAGGTGTATTTATTTTTATGCTGTCAATCACAAATCTGAATTCAGGTAATACAGGTAGGTAGCCAAATGTCACCCAAGCAAAGGCAGGTACTCAGATATGAACTTGGGACTTTGACTTGAAAGCCCTGCTACTGTTCCTTTTTGTTTACAGAGGTGATGCAATAAGGAGACAGGGTATGTCATGGTTTGTGAGGCCAAGGATACTAAGACAGTACAGAATTCTATGGCACATAGTAGGTGCTTGTGCAGATTCTGTGAGCTTCATCACATATATTGCTGTCATCTATAAATTCTGGCTTCCCCTCATGGTAACAATGGCCTGGTGTCAAACAGTGATCTTACTGCCAGTTTCTGGATTCCCTGGGCATTGACAGTCTAAGATTAGCCTGATGCTGTAAGGAGAATGAGGTGGTGAGCAGAGGGACACAGCAGGATTAGGACACAGGGGACAACTGCAATGTGCCTTTGACATTGGCAAGAGACGAGAAAGAGATCGATGCATCTGTTTATGAAACTTCTATAAACCCACTGAAAACTAAGTATAATGACAGCTGAAATCTAAAATTCTCTCAAAATTAAGTAGTTATACATAATTTCCTCACAGCTTAAGGGGTTCTATTGGTTTCACAGGAGAAAACTCTGCTTTTACTCTTTGTCACCCTACCTTTCAAGTAGATGAAAACAAAAAAAAAGGGGGGTCCAGCACTGTGGCACAGTGGGTAAAGCTGCCACCTGCAGGGCTGGCATCCCACATGGGCACCTGTTTGAGTCCCAGCATCTCCACTTCAGATGCAGCTCTCTGCTGTGGCCTGGGAAAGCAGTAGAAGATGGCCCAAGTCCTTGGGCCCCTGCATCCATGTGGAAGACCTGGAAGAAGCTCCTGCCTCCTGGCTTTGGATCGGCCCAGCTCAGCTATTGTGGCCATGTGGGGAGTCAACCAGCAGATCAAAGATCGGATCGGTCGATCAATCTCTTTCTCTCTGCCTCTCCTTTCAGTAACTCTGCCTTTCAAATAAATATTTTTTAAAAATTTAAATAAATTTAATTATTAATTGAAAAGTATCAGAAGTTTTGCTTTTCTTCTAGAAAACCAGGCAATATATTTTCTCAATTGGGAAACTTCTTTGAAGCCTTTCTCTAGTAGAATGAGTCAGCTGGTAGTCAGCTTTTTCTTCAGACCTCCAGTACTTCAGTTAAAAATATATATAAGTATTTTTAGCATTGCTGATTCAAAGTAGTCACGAAAATAATATAATTGCAGATCTCATGGCAGGTCATTCATCCTGGTTCCCATATTTCGGCTTGGGTGGTTAAACTGGCAGTCTCTGGGGAGCGAAGCATTCAAGGTCAATTCAGTGCAGCCAGGGCACTCTCGCACTAGATCAGAGGCTGCCTCTGACAGACAGACTCCACTCCCTGCTCTGGCTTCCTGGACACACCTACCACCTAGACCTTAGCCCAGCTGCAAGATCAGCCTCACTGGGTCAGCAGCCCTACGGGAGGGCACCGATTTCAGAGAGGAAGCCCAAGAGGCACAGGGGTGCTTCCCTGAATCCAGAAATGCCTGCAAGATCACGTATTCCTATATACATTTCAATTTGCTTTCCAGATGGAGCCTTTAAACAAAAGATGTTTATCCAGTTCAAATTCAGAGCCAAGTCGTGTGTCAAGAGGGTGTCTTAATTTCTCAAAACAGAACATGCTTAGGCCCATTGTGTGTTTTATGAGGCAATATATCAAATGTGACTAATGCATTTGCTTCAAGTAGGGAGCAAGCCATTTGGCATTACAAATCCTGGACTTTCAGGGGGAGGAGGGAAATCACTTTGATTTCTAAGTTCATTAATTAAGATAAATCAAAGTTGATGAATAAACTTTCAGTATTGCTTAATGCCTCCCAGATATCAGTATCAAGGCCTTGGCAAGGCAGGTCTAAGTATTTCTATAAACAAGAAGCAATTTAGAAGGACTATGGGATGAATTCTTAATTCCTATGGAAATCTCTCCTGTATCCTAACATCTTTCTTCTTCCTTTGCCTTACCCTTCTCTGTCAAATTTTTTTTTAATACACCAAATAATGGCTTGCTACAAGTATCTGGTAAACGAAGTTAGGGGAAAAGACCCACAGGGTAGATCCTCTACTGCAGCCATGTAAATAGCATTGCCGAAGAGCCAACAATATATACTGCAGACCCACAAAGAGACGCCACGTCTTCCTTCTCCTGGCACAACTCTTGCACTGACTAAAATCTTGGGAACCTGGGCCCAGTCATATCTATTTTGGTACCACTGGCTAGATCCATCCTGTAAGCTCGAAGGGAATCGCCCTCTTTGTGTAAATGTTTGCTCTGTTGGAAATTCTCGAGCAGAAATTAATAGTGTACATGCTTCAGGAGGAGTATTAAATCAAGCCCGATAAACAACTCCTAGCAATGTTTAGACTGGCAAAAAGTCATCTGAAGAATTGTCCACAAAGACAGAAGACATTTGGCATCCATGGAGTAAGACTGTCTATAAAACAGAAAGCAAAGTAGGGACCCGCCAATCAACCAATTGCTCTGGTGAATAGGGTCTATCAGAAAGGGTAGGTAGTAAATGAATAACCAGACAAGGACCCGATCTTCCTTCTGTGCGAGGAGGGCATGGTTAATGAATCATGGATGTCTTTAGCTGCAGTTACAGAACACATTTGGAACTCGTCTGGAAGTTTGCTTTGATCTCTTGTTTGAAGTCATATGCCAATATTGTTGGGCCCTTGTGACATCAACTGTCACAACCTCCAGGCAGTGAAAGGGCTGAAACCAATCAGGTAGAACTGGTGCCAAGAGAAGTTTCAACACAACACAGTAGTGTGTTCAAGGAACTCAACTGCAGGCTTTCAGGATCTTAATAAAGTGCAAGTATTGTTTAAAAACCACACACACACACACACACACATGATACAAACACACACATGGGTAGGTGAAGAGAGGCACAAAGACCTTTTCTTTGGTCCACACCAGGGTTAAAGAATTATTTGGGGGTCTTCTCAAGTAAGAGCTAGGTATTACTACTGCTCTACACTAGTCAGCAAATGCAACAGATCTACCAGGGGCTCTAGGAAAATGGGTCACTCTCCCAGACTGCTGACCCGGAAGCCGGAAGGACTTAGAGCAAAGAGACCAAGTCCAAGTCACTCCTTAACACTGACTTCGAGGCTGATTAAAAAAAAAATTGGCTTGGGAATGGGGAGAGGGGAGTCATTCCATTACTGTTGTCTGATTCACAAGTGTTGTTAAATATTTACAATAAATCTGACAGCAGTTTCTTAATATTTGTTAATCATAGATAATGTTATCCCATTAATTACTCAATAAACTTTTTTAAAGTCACACAGGGTAAACCTTCCTACTTTAACGCTGCTAACCCATCCTTGCAGAATAAATATTTGCTTTGAGTTTCTCCATGCCAAGTTTTATAGCATCATGAAACTGAGATCTCCCTTTGTAAATCAGGTGTGCCCACAGAAGACTGAGAGAGTGGGACCTATAGTCCTGTCTGCTGCCTCTCCAAGGGTCCTTGAGCAAAGGGCTCCATGTCTCCAGACAGACAGACATGGGGCACTTCTGACCAGTCTCCCACAGAACAGCCTTTGAGAAGTATTTCCAAGACAGCTCAGCCTGGAAGTAAGCGGAGTTGGTTGATCTCTACCAGGGCATCAAATGGCAAAGGTCACATTTCCCATTCTCCTGATTGTTGATAGTTCTTTGTAATAATCTTCATCAAAGCCCATCCTAATTCTTTTCCAAGAACACACATACTTAGATGCTCATATAGAACATGACTTTCATCTTGAATCTTCCCCTGAACCACCCCAACAGAGCTCTGGTGACTCGGCATCTTGGGTGGTTATTAACTTGCACAAACACCTCACTGAAGGTGACTTTGGATATGTCTCCCTGTCCAGAGTAGGAAGTGTCTGCATGGAGTGACTTCTCTATTCTGACCAGTCACACACAAAAATAACACTTTCCCCATTCACTGATATTATACTTCTGTAAAGAGAATGAACCATCCAACCAATAACTCACAGGAAACCTACTATGTAAGTATGAGTGAACATCACAAATGTCTATTATCATTATCTCATCTAACCTCCTACAGAATAACCTAGGATATCTATAGTTTATTTTTTGTAGATTCGTTTATTTTTTAGAAAGTCAGAGTTATAGAGAGAAAGGGAGATAGATCTTCCACCTGCTAGTTCACTCCCCAGGTGGTCACAATGGCCAGTGCTGGGCCAGGTTGAAGTCAAGGGCTTCATCCAGGTCTCCCACATGGGTGGCAGGAGCCCAAACCCTTGAGCCAGCTGCTTTCCCCAGGCCATTAGCAGGGAGCTGGATCAAAAGCACACGTGAACTGACACCCAAATGGGATACCAACATCACAGGAAGCAGCTTTACCGGCTATGTCACAATGCCAGCCCCTGGAACTTTTTTTTTTTTTTTTTTTTGACAGGCAGAGTGGACAGTGAGAGAGACAGAGAGAAAGGTCTTCCTTTGTCGTTGGTTCACCCTCCAATGGCCACCGCGGCTGGCGCACCGCGCTGATCCAAAGGCAGGAGCCAGGTACTTCTCCTGGTCTCCCATGGGGTGCAGGGCCCAAGCACTTGGGCCATCCTCCACTGCACTCCCTGGCCACAGTAGAGAGCTGGCCTGGAAGAGGGGCAACCGGGACAGAATCCGGTGCCTCGACCGGGACTAGAACCCAGTGTGCCGGCGCCGCAAGGCGGAGGATTAGCCTAGTGAGCCGCGGCGCTGGCCTGGAACTTATTTTTAATGGCAATTTCTCAGTTATGTAGAAATGTCTGCAATTACATTCTTCCTGAGAATATATTTTAAGTGAGGGAAAGGGAAGGAAAAGAAAATAACCATGATTGGTTTCAGATAAACTTTTAATAAGGAATAAAATGAAGATATTATTCCTTATTTTAATTTATTTGAGAGAAAAACAGACTGACAGTACCTATCTGCTGGCTCACTCACCAAATATCTGCAATAGCCAGGGCTAGGCCAAGCCAGGAACCAGAACTCAATCTGAATCTCCTGTGTGGGTATGGGAACCTGGGTATTTGAGCCTCACCTGCTGCCTCCCGAGGTGCACATTAGCAAGAAGCTAGAATCAGAGGCGAGCCTGGACTTGAGTATAGGCATGGATATGGGTATCCTGAGAAATGCCTTAACCAGGAAGCCGAACACCCAACCCCACTGTCTTCATTGTACAGATGAATCAAGTGTCAGAGGAGCTGAACAATTTGTCCAAAAGTTTGTAGCTGGTAAACAGTAACTCTGGGATTCAAGTAAGTTATTTTAGCTAAGCAATAGTGCTTGAGGCAGCCAAGTGGATTGGGATACACAAGTTGTTGAAAGCATACACACAGACACACCAAAACAAACTCAGAAGAGATTTGTGAGGAATGCCATCACAGAGCACAAAAAACAGCCTGTGTCTCCGTGGTGGGGGCAAAGGACAGCCCTAGGATGACCACGAGAGGTGGTGGTCTGTATCCCACCTCAGAACATGTCTAACAACACTCTTCCATCCTTTTCCTTATTTTATCGGAAAGCAAGAAAATCTGATATTTGGATTGCATATGTGTGGTAAGATTAGGCTCCCAGATTCTTTAATACATTGAACTCATAAATCTTCACCCAGTTAGTATCAAAATGTTCCATTCAAGTGGATTCAGAAGGAGAAAATGCAATACATGACTCAACTTTCACTTCCAGCATTTAAATCAGGAATAATTATATGAGCCAGTGTCAACACAGGTCCCCTCACCTCTATATCCTTTTGTCAAGAAGCAGCTTTTAATGTATTTCAGGGAGGAATCCAGGGTGCGCTGGGTGTAAGAATTCATGTAAAACACTTCTTGAAGCATTACCAGAAATCACACCTTACATTACAAGATGATTTGCACTGCTGGAAATTTCCCGGCTGTGCCTGTGACCCCAAAAATCAAGGGGGCATTAAAACAAACCTGTGCAGGCCAAAGTTGTGACACACAACACTGCTCATCATGACTCAGCTGAAAATAAAAAAGAGAGAGAGAGAGAGAGAAAGAGAGAGAGAGAAGAATGAGTAGAAAAAGATGATGCTACCTAACAGCAACATTGCAAATAGGACAAGGAACTTCTTTGCCTCTGCTTTCGGGTCAGGAAATACACCACCACATCAATGGAATATTTGAGAGCCTACAGGCTGTGACTCATCCTGATTCAACAACACAATTAAACACAGGCTCCAGGCTACCGCACAATCAGAGCAGCTCAACACTTGAGCAAAAAAAGTATCTGAGGAGTCATTGTTTTTTCTTTTTCTTTTCTTTTTTTTTTTTTTTTTGAATAATACCAGTGTCTGCTCTCCAGTACTGCTGATTTAGTTTAACTGGAATAGGGCAGGTGGCAGGTACTGTATGTTTTCCAGTGTCTCCAGTTGATTTTAATATGAGCATGGCTTCAGTCCCAC